GAGAGGCCCCCAACATTCCACGACATAGCTCTAATCCGGGGGCCATGCTTGCTGTCCACGACTCCCAGGCGGCTCCGCGGGGCGGGCCGGGCGCCTGAACCTGCGGGTACTCCCCTAAGAGTATCAAGTGTACAGAGGCGGCCTTTGTAGTGAGTGGACTGAGCCGGGTTTCGGGCAGCTCGGCCAATGGCCCGACGGAGAGCTCTTTTGCGGGGAAGGCGAGCTGGGTCTGCATTGGCCACGGGTGGACAACCTGCAGCTGGTAAAGCTGGCATGTGACTTGATACCGATTCAGAGCCCACAACAGCGGCCGCCGCCTCCGTGGCTAATCCTGTCCGCGTGCTTGTGCCAGTCTGGATAAGACATCCTATGCATAGCATAAATAGAAGCTGTTTACACAGGATCCGGAGAGGGCGAAAGCACTGTCTGATCAGTGACCCACAGGGATCGGAGCGCAGCGCACCAGTGTGCGATGTCCGAAGGCCTGGGCATTGAGTGCCACACCAAAGACAACATCTAATGATGTGGGCAAAGCACCTGTGCAGACAGCGGAGCAGGGAGAAGAGAAGAAAAGTAACAGGCAACAGAGCTGCATACAGAAAAGTCCTGGCAACCATGTACGCGCACTCAGACTGGTCTTGAAGTGGCAGCGGCAGAGCCGATCCGACTTGGAAGGCAGGAAAAGTGTAAGGCAAAAGAATTGTGGGAAAGACTCGTGCATCTGTGGCACCGTCGATTAAATCAGTTCGGCTCCCCAGGAGGGGGCCGTTACACGGCGAGAGGGAGCGTGCACGTAGAGTCTCCGAAAGCCGTCCAGAGCGACTCTGCTCAGCGCCCATCGCGGGTTTCTGGGTGATGGCAAGTATCGTCGGGGCGGGCAGGTCCCCAATCCAGGCTCGCATGACGTTCCTGAACTCGAACCAGGTGATGCGCCATTCCTAGGCGATTACCTGAGTCCATTTCGTCTTTGCATGTTCCGCAGCCGGTATCGGGCGTGGGGGTTGGGTTCTGCTTCTCTTCGTCCTCCGAGGAACCGGCGGCTCAGGTGGCAACAGCGACGTGGCTTGCCGAGACGGCTCCCCAGCGGGGGCCGTAGGGATCAGTGCTTGTTCTGTGACCAGCTTCTCCTGTCCGCCTGTCTCGTCAGTTGCCAGGGTAGCTGCTTCTGCCGACCTCTTCGGGGGGGGTGCCGGTGGGGATGCGCGGGGCTCTGCCTCAGTCGACCCAGTCGGGAGAAGATTGGGTGGAGGTGCCTTCATTTTCAGAGCGGGCATCCATGTCCGTTGCCCATTGCCACCCGGCTTAGGGCCAGCAGCAATGCTGGGGGGCGGGTGCTGCATTCGACCTGGGTAGGCGCCATGCTCAAGTCCAGGTGTGGCTGCCGAGGCCGGGGCCGCAGTCGAGGACGAGGCGGAAGCTGAGGTAGAGGCTGACAGCTCCCCTGTGGGGGCCGCGGAGACCGGTACCTGTTTTGGCACGGGGGTTACGGCCTGAGTGCTGGCATCAGCTGCGACTGTGGCAGCGGGTTTCGCAGCACCACCCCCGGCCGCATCAGCAGCAGCACGGGCAGCCGCCCGCGCCGCCCGCTTTGCCAGCTCACCAGCGGTCCGGCGTCGTGTGCCATCCGGTCTGTAATGTTGTCGGGGCCCTCCCCCCGGACGGTGGGGGTTCATGGCAGCCAAAAAGCTGCAAGTGAAGAGCCAATTGCAGAACAAGTGAATGGCACGCTGCGCAACTGCTGAGGGCGGAGACCATCGCTCGCGTGCTCGGCGGGAGAGTCGCCGTTGTCTCCGCGAATAGGAGCGATGTAAAACCTGCCATTGGCAAGGATGCGGATGGTTCCTGCCGTGTGGGGTCATGTCAGGGCTGCTAACAAACGTCCTAGTGCAGCTGATGAATAAAGGCGCCAGCCTGAAGCGGAAGGAAGACTCAGCAGCCTGAGAAACATGAGATGACATATGGGCATGTCTTCGGTGGGAAATAGTAGTGTGGCCACCAGGCCCAGAATAGAGGCAAAGAGTGACTCTTTCACGCTGACAGCGGCAAAGCGAGGTCAAGCAGAAACATGTGGGGCATCGGTGTCCCGCTCGGACAAGCATTTTCGCACAGGCCCGACTTGAACGTCGAGCAGGGCCATACTGCATCCCTTCAGGATGGGGGGAAGCCGAGGGGACTGTTGAGAGACAGTATATCTCGGGATTAAAATGAAACACCTCGTTGTCTGCCCAATCTACTTGTGAAGACCTGTCAGGAGCGTGAGGAGCAGGTGTGGCGGCCGTCGGCACCCCAATGGGGGCCGTGGTGGCGGTTCTGGGAGTAGTGGTCTTGACATCAGCAGTACCGGAGTCGTTGCGGTCGGTGGTAGTGTCCGACCTGACCGGGAGTCTCTCGGGCAGGCACTGCCGACGCAGTTGGTGCAGCCGGCGCCGGTGATGGAGGAAACTCCCCCGACTCATCACCCGGGGACCACAAAAGAGAGGCCTCGGAATTTGGCGTGTACGACATGTGAGAGCTGACGGCACCCAGAGGGGCCGTTGTCCTAGATGCACCCCGGAGTGGCCACCAAGGTACGGCGCACTCCAAGTTTGAGGCGATACGGCTTGGAGAGAAGTGACAGGGGTAACACTTCAAGGCATGGATATCAGCAAGCAGAGCACCTGTGCTGAATGAGATGGGGTGTAAGGGTCCCACCGGCCAGTCCAGCGGCCATCCTGCAGTAGTCCTCAACACTGTGGGAACGCAGCCACGGTGCAGTTCTTCCACGGCTGTGTACCTTGGTAAAGTAAGCATGGGCATCACCGCCTGCGCTGGAAACTGAGTGTGCCACACGAGGGCTGCAGCCGCAGCCTGGGCACACCAATAAGGAACAGTAGCAAGCAGTGGCCACTGGCAGAGAAGAGCAACAAACGCTGCACGCATGTATCCACCACGCGCTTCACGTGCCCGGCGGAGTCCCGCTGCAACGGCTTCCCCTGAGGGGGCCGTGCCTGCCTTAGGCGAGGTAATGACTTCTCCGGATTGGAGAATAACCACAGCGGATATAAACTGAGGCGCAATGGCTCCGCGCACTCCTTCCGTGAGATACACTCCATTGTCGCTATAATAGAAAGTGCACCCACCTGAGGAAGCTGCTTGGGGGGTCACTTGGATCGCCAGCTCACAGTTGGACCTCCATCCTGACAGGACTCTCTGGCCAGAATCTGGCAGATGCTCCACCAGGTGAATATCCGTACGGCACCCAGAGGGGCCGCCTGCAAGAAGTCCGCTGCGCAGAATCGACCTGTAATTCCCGGCCCGAGTTCCGTGGTACAAATAGGGTGGAAGCTCTCGGCGGCGAAGCTTCTTCTCCTTCATGAGAAGATCTTTACTCACCGATTGTGAGTGACCTTGGGCGGCTCGGACCCAGGGGACCCCATCGAAGTGTCTCAACGTGTAGCGTTTCTTCGCATCCTGTTGGATGGCATGGAGGATTTCTGCAGATCGTGCTCCTTGTGAACGCATCTCACTTGTTTGGATGATAGCTTCGACGTTGAAAAAGCCGTCTGCCCTCAGTGGTAATCCTTCTTCGGCGGCCTTGTGCCGCAAGAGGCGCGTCAGCGCGCCTTCGAAAGACGAAGAAGCCTGTCGGCGCTGACCGCCACACGATAAGGAGAACGTGAGCGATCTCGCGGTCCGGCACGGTCGTCAGGGCTTGCAGCTCCCCATTTGGGGGCCGGCCGGAGCCTCGCCTTCGGTCTGTGGCGAACTGGAGGTTCCTCGACCTCTTCCTCCACCTCCACTTCTATCTCAACCTCTGCCTCCTCTACATCATCCCTCCTGTCCTGCCACACAGGACCAGGTTCGGCCTCCGCGAGGGGGGCCGCCGCTGCTGCAGCCGCTTCCTGTTCTCGCCGGGCTTTCTTCTTGGCCCTGGCTTCCAGTTCTCCCCTGGTTCTGCGCCTGGTGCCGTCCGGCCGGTAGTGCGCCCTACCCATGGGAGGAGGATGCCTAAGCCTGACAGTATCGAGGTGAGATGGTCGAGGCAGCTGTAGTCTCCCAGCCCCTGGGTATCTGAGCAAGATGTTGCAGGGCTGGGTGTACCTCCGTAGGTGGTGTCGGGTAGCTTGCACACCCTGCAGAGTTGAAACAAGGATGCCAAGGTTAGTGGATGCTGGATGCAAGAGATGGCTCTGAAGGCAGACAACACATGACAGGCACATAAACCATGCAGCATCCTCCAAGCAGACACTCAGCTGTAGCGTAAGGCCCAAGCTGTGATCCCATTCGTGTAGAGCCGATCTGGAGAACCAAAGGCTCTGAAATGGCTCCTGCTCGGGTGTAACGTGCAACTCATGTGAGCAGATGCCTGTAGTCGACAAACGGCACCCCGAGAGGGCCGACTGAGGCAGGGACTTGGATTCACAAACGCCTGGCGAGCATATCCCAATCCCGTGTGTCGGCACTGAACTAGCGGCAGAGTGCAGAGGCGAGAGGGTGGCTTTCGCAGGGGCACAACGAGGCCGCTGCGAAAAACGGCAGGAGCTTACTGAGGCCGGCACGGAGGGAGTAGCAGGCCACGGCCATCGGGATAAGACAGAGGTAATCTGACAAGAAGATAGAAGACTGGCCTCGGGGGACAGCGGGTATAACTCTTGGGGTGCAGAAGGACGATGGATCGGCCGAACCTCAGTAGATCGACCAGTGTACCAGGTGCAGCAGGGTGAGGCTGCGATAACGCCAAACAGAAAAATAGAGTGCCTACCTCTCAGCTTCGCTATTATTAGCACTTGCTGTCGGAGCACCAAGATCGCTGCTCCGGTCGGACCTGAGGCAAGGTATCCGACAACCCTCACACCCCTCGCCTGACAAGGGTTACACCAGGAGGGCATGAAAAAGCGAGGCCCGGACTTGGGACCGGGC